AGTTACAACTGCATATACTGCATATTAATATTTATTGAACACAAAAGAGCAATTTCATATCCATAATTCATGTAAAGTCGAACTTTTAACTGCGAGTTAACCAAGCATAGTTTTACTTTTCTATCTGAAGCATATGTCTCGCGGTATTTGTTGGAGCGGACTTTAAACGATACGTGGGCACTGAATCGGGGCTAGTAACTTGTAAAATTTTAACCAATAACCTTTTTCTATTGCTGTGCTAATATCCTAATACCTTATCACAAATCCCATAACATCATTACTTTCCTGAACTGACAAAAAAGAATAATATTTGTCAAATATTAGGCTACATTTATATCTGTGATGTATTGACTCATGATGTATTGTACCGTGAATAAGTTTCTATACAGTGCACCAAGTAGTCACGTGACGCGCATTCATCAATAACGTAGTATAACATATACATTTACTAAAACAATACAAACTGTCGACAAAAACAATTGTTTATATTACATACCCGTCTCTGAATAAACCTCCATAGAATCCTCTTCCATGTTAGGAAATAATATGTTATATAATTATGTGTTAAGTCTGATTTTTTTACTAACGAATGAATGACTAAAATGGCGACAAAAGCGTGTTCAAACATATTCGATATTTTATGTCTAGACTGTATGTCGTATGACCACTGTATAGAAAGTAAATCTAAACGGATTCCTGGGCTTATGCCTTGGGAGATGTTTTTCGTCCGAATATTTAGCTGAAAGTCCAGTTTAGATTTTGGAATGTCTCCTGAGCCAAAAAAAAGTGATGGGGAGTCTTCCTTAGTAATAGTGCTTACAGATTTACAGCACTACGGAAATGAAATGAATGGAGTTTTACGTCCTACTTTTGTGCACCACTTGGGCTAATGAAGACGGGCAACGCCATGCAGGTCGGAAATTTTGCCAGGACCCAAAGTAGAGCAAAATGACGGCCCCTTTGGGTTTCGCTACCCCTCAATTCCTTACTATATAAAGAAATTCGGGTGCAATGAGGACAATTTTTCCGGGACAGTGGCATTAGCTTGCTCTCTCAACCTATGCCGGGATTGAACCCTGGACCTTCATGTTAGCGAGCCACCGCGGCTCCCTACAGGACTAAGGAGCGGAGTTGAGTAGTGATTAAAGATTTACAGCTATATGGAACGAAGCGGATTACTACCAAATGAAGCGGAGTAGTTGCTGTAAATTTGTAAGCACTATTGACCTGTACAGCCATTTGAAAATCGTCTTTTTACTACCGAATGGTATCAAATCATTGCGTATTTTCACTACCGAAAGTAAACGTTTAGCGACTTATTATGTAAACAAGCCTTTCTTCTTTTTTTTCTGTTAAAATTCCAATAAAAGTTCTTTCGCGGGTTAAATAAGCCGGATACATATTGCACCGGTACCGTCCACGGTTCTAGTCATTATTATATTATTATTATTTGGAAGTCCTATAATTGGGGACAAAGAATTTAACTGCATGACTTCACAACATTTATAACAGAATGTTTCAATGAATAAATTATTATTTATTATTTTGATTCACTTATTGCTAATAATTGCAACCAGACAGAAATTTCAGAATATACAAAATTTGACTTTTGTTGCTTTGGTATTATAAATTTGTTTTGTTTCGTACCTTTTATATTCGTGGTTTTAATCATGGATTTTTGTTTATCGTTTTTCAGTAGTTCGTAAAAAGAAAATTTGAATTTCAGTCAGTCTATTTCAAATTAGTTTACAAATTCATATTTTTTTGTTTTGTAATGTAATATTTTTAGTCTCCATTGTAATCTAACAAGTTTTCTACCAAAGGTCCGTCGCAAAGGTACATAAGATAGCGAAACCCAAAGTAGAGCAATATGATGGCTACCCCTCAATTCCTTACTATATAAAGAAATTTTGTCATGCTATACGTACTACTCTAGTACCGATCTTGTCTTAAAAATAAATCTATATTTAAATGAATCTAATAAAACCAGGAATAGACAACTGTATCAAAACATTCAGGTAAGATTTGATTACTTCTATAATTTAAAGATACTTGCTATATTGATTAAGCTTTTTGATATATATAACCTATAACGTTACTCAACTCTAATTTTTCCTGTAGTGAACTTGGCATTGGGTAAAGAAACAAGCCAAAGTACAACATTTGGAACTGGATCATCATCACGTGCTGTAGATGGTAATACTGATAGCAAATATACTATCAATTACTGTTCTCACACTGATAAACAGAAAACTCCTTCATGGTGGTGTGTTAACTTGAAGTCAACTGAACAATTTAAATCTATTATGCTATATAATAGAGACATCTGTGAGTATTTAGATATGATAGTTGAAGATGGGGCCCCTTATTTTCATTTAAGATATGAAAATGTTAATAATGAAACGAATAAAAGTAGAGGTGGTCTAATGACTTGGAAAAATACCAGTTTGTATCACATGTCCATACACATGTAGACATTTATGATTGGTTAAAACTCTTAAATATATGTAATAAGAACATAATGATATGATTAAGAATATATGATAATTCATTAGAAACACTTTGCTTAATTTGACACTAAAAAAAACAAGGAAGCCCCTCTTTAAAACGGCTTTAACAATTACCTTAAACTAATTCAATCTATTCCAATGCCTGGTAAACTTTTGTCTATCATTTATAAGAATTCAATATACACGTATTAAGATCTGATAAATGGTGACATCTAATATAAGAAATATGTTATAATTACTTTTAAAATTTCAGTGAAGGACAGATTAAAAGGATTCTCTGTAAAAGTAAGCAAATCTGGAGGATGTGATCAAAGTACATTTGAATCAAGTCAAGTTTGTTACAAAGACGAAAGTACCGAACTAAAAGATATTTATACTGTAGATTCATGTAACGAAGGACAGTATGTTTTTATTACAACACCAAGAAGTTATCTAACTCTTTGTGAAGTGAAAATATTACAAGGTGATTTATTATTACATTATGATATATTTACCTATTTATCTATTTGACATATCTATTCATTAGCAAAACTGCATAATAATTATTACGTACCTCCAGGTCTGAGAATTTTTAAGGATTTGACTTCAAATGTCGAATAATCACAATAAGTTTTGTTGAAATGTCATCTGGATTTGAAAATTATCCATGTATAGGTATAAGAGAATAACATGCATCTATTGAGGTCTATACATTATCCATTCTAATTTACAGATAGGATTTGCGCCAATACGACAAAATTGCCCCCATTGATGCATGACGATGCATATTCCCTCCTACCCCTGTAACCTCACTGGCGCCGCCACTGCTTTGAAAGTTAGCCTAATAAGTCACGGGTTGAAAACTTCATTTCTAATTAAGGGGTAAAATATTAAAAGGTGGTTTATTACAACATTATAATACCAATCGCGACAATGTGTATGTTGTTGAAGGATTACGTATTTTTGAAAAAGGAATAAATTAAGAATAAAAAAAGGAAAGGAAAGGAATCTTATTAAAATTTTATCACAAATGCCTTCTCCATGGTAATCTAACAAGTTTATCTACCACAGACCCCCTCTAATACAATTATTTTTAACCAATCACAGTGTGTCGTCTATACTTCATAAATACTGTCAGTAGAGAATTAAGCTTTTTTATTACATGTAAATAGGCCTAAAACTATATTCAATTTAAGATCTTCCTGTGAGGAACTTGGCAATGGGTAAAGAAACAAGCCAAAGTACAACATTTGAAACTGGATCATCATCACGTGCTGTAGATGGTAATATTGATAGCAAGTATACTATCAATTACTGTTCTCACACTGATAAACAGAAAACTCCTTCATGGTGGTGTGTTAACTTGAAGTCAACTGAACAATTTAAATCTATTGTGCTATATAATAGAGACATCTGTGAGTATTTAGATATGATAGTTGAAGATGGGGCCCCTTATTTTCATTTAAAAAATGAAAATGTTAATAATGAAACGAATAGAAGTAGAGGTGGTCTAATGACTTGGAAAAATACCAGTTTGTATCACATGTCCATAATTAATTCATGATTAGCTCAATTAGAAGAGAATTACCAGCAGAATTCCAAAGAGTGACCAATCAAGAAAGGTCAAAAAATATTTTTTGGTTTATCCAGACTGTACATACATAGACATTTATGATTGGTTACAACTCTTAAATATATGTAATAAGAACATAAGGATATGATTAAGAATACATGATAATTCATTAGAAACACCAATTAATGAAACAGTGTGCTTAATTTGTCACTAAAAAAACAAGGAAACCCCTCTTTAAAACGGCTTTAACAATTACCTTAAACTTATTCAATCTATTCCAATGCCTGGTAAACTTTTGTCTATCATTTATAAGAATTCAATATACACGTATTAAGATCTGATAAATGGTGACATCTAATATAAGAAATATGTTATAATTACTTTTAAAATTTCAGTGAAGGACAGATTAAAGGATCT